ACCATATTAAAAGCAAGTTTTTAAAAATTAAAAATTCAATAAATCAGAACAAGTTCTGACAGAACATCCAAACCTGGAAGATAAATATTTCTTGTTTCTGGTTTTAGTAAGAAGCTTATTTACACAAAGACCGGGTTCTTCTGGATCATTTGGCTCCGCCTACTTGTTGAGGACCTCAGTGTCCACGTCTTCCGTGCGGGAAACTACCTTTCCATCGATGAGTTCCTCGATCACCACCTTCGTCCTCTGAGTGATAACTGGTTTACCTGCAGAGGATAAACAAAAACAATTTCAATCTATTTATTACCACTTCCACTGAAATAAACAACAAAGGTYGCTATATTTACTTATTTTTGCATATATTTTAGTAATGTATGATGTTAGTTTCCTGTGCTAATAATTTTAGCTTGATAGCTAAAGCCAAAAACTACATTTTAGCAATATGTGGTGTTAGCATCCTGTGCTAATAATTTAAGCTCAGTAGCTAATGCCATGAATATGTAATCTTAATACGTTGTTAGCTTTCGAGCTACAATTATTAGTACAGTAGCTAAAGCCACAAATATATAATAGTCATTTGTGGTGTTATCTCCCAAGTTAACATTATTAGCACAATAGCTAATGCCACAAATACTGTATATATACAGTATATTAACAATATGTGGCGTTAGTATCCTGCACCAATTTTAGCTTGGTTGCTATCACCACACATATATTAGCAATATATAGTGTTAGCGTCTTGAGCTAATAATATTAGGTTGATAGCTAATGCCATGAATATATAATAATGTTAAATTGGGAGCTAACGCYACATGTATATATTAGTAATATGTGGTGTTAGCTCCAGAGCTAATTTACTTAAGGTTATGTTTAATTGTTTCAACCATTTATTGTGCAGATTATAAAAACTATTAAAAATAAATAACTTGATTGTCACACATTATAGTGTTTAATTCTAACCTGTAACGCATCATCATCATCATCATCATCATCCCCAAAATGCATTGCATCAGTAACATAATGTCAGAATACTTCAATAAAAAAATGTAATAAACTTACGTTTTTCTTCTTTCACCTCAACCTTAGTGGTTTTCCTAAAATAAAAAGTAAATTTTAATTATTTTATATTGTGACAACCTGCTCTCACTCACCAGAAACAATCAAGATGTTCCTGCTGAACTTCCTGTCACATCTACAAAATAAAACTCTTACGTGTTGAGCTCTCCTTCCAGCAGCCGGCGGTACTCTGCGATCTCCAGCTCCAGCCGGGTCTTGATGTCCAGCAGCATCTGGTACTCACTGGACTGACGCACGACGTCGGCCTTCACCTGGCTGAGCTCCTCCTCCAGACTGTCCACCATCATCTGGAGCTGCCGGAGCTGCAGAGCGAAACGGGACTCCGTCTCGACCAGCGTTCCCTCCGAGGCGGATTTCTGCAGAGGAGGACAAGCGCAGGAAGTTCAGAGGTTTTGTGTCTGCGGACAGGAAGTGAAAGAGCCGAAACATGGTGGATTACCAGGCTGTTCTGGGACTGCAGCTCGATCTGCAGACTCTGCAGCAACCTCTTCAGGTCGTTGATCTCAGTGCGAGACGTCTGCAGCGTCTCCGTGCTGCTCGCCATCGCCTTGTTCAGGTCGTCAAACTGAAAGAGTTCATTAAATAAAAACGTTTTTAATTCACTCTGACTTTAAACTTTAATCCAGGAGGCGACGCTGACGCTCCTCCTCCGGTCTCACCTTGCCTTTGTACCAAGCCTCCATTTCCCGGCGGTTCTTCTCGGTGATGGACTCGTACTGAGACCTGATCTCCTCCAGGACCTGGTTCAGGTCCTCCTGAGGCTTGGCGTCCACCTCCACGTTCACAGAGCTGCTGGACATGAGGCTGCGCTGCGCCGCCAGCTCCTGCAGACACAGCAATGACAAAAATCACAATTACACACACAGAGAGTGGTGGCATGAGCTAAAGTATGACTGGTAAAACAGCTGAATGGTAGCTAAAAACATCCTAACTCAGATTTCACAAAACATTGAAATACTTCACTAACGATCTGCATATATATATAT